TGTGGGCAGAAATTTAGGCACAACTGAGGTGACTGCCTTTATCTACACTGACAGACGAAACTGAAAGGAGCTAAAGTGGTTGGCGTATTCAAAGAGGTCAGACACAGCAGCGGGCACAACACAAAAGACGCAGGCTCGCATTCTGTACCACAGCTGAAAATGAGTTTCCAAAGAATTCTTTTTCGCACATTTTCTGCAGTGAAAAAACTTGATCCACCCATGAAATAATGGAACAGGTGTTGCCCCACTTTTTCAAAGGTGCGTCATGTCAGTGGGACACACACATCCCACTTTTTTCTCGTAAACTAATTGTTATAATTTGGTGAAAATTGCTTCATTGTATTTTTGTGCACATTATTTAGATATTCCACTCATACATTTTCTTCTATCATATAAAAAATATTGGTAAAAGCACGAAGGGTTAGTTTGACTGAATGCCTTAAAATGGTGGCCGGCACTATTCTTAATAACTTTAGGGGGGGGGGGGGGGGGGGAAGGACAAGGACGACTGAAAATGTGTTTTCTTTTTCGATTTTCATGGCACAATATTCCAGCACTACTGACAAGTGCTTCCACGAAGTGGTGAATTATTACCCACAGTGTAAAGCGTTTGAAATAGCCCGAAATGCATCTGATCCCGTGACTGCACTGCGACAACTCAACCTTTAAATGGCGCTTTCTCCGAACACTACTTCTCGTCAGAAAAGAGACATTTTCTCTTTCATCACTGAAGCTACCAAATGCAAACTTTTGTGACTTTTTTCTGAATACCATTCACGCTTGGTAAAGCGAAAGAACGTTCTTGCCACCAGAATCGTATGTCTTACAAATGTCTTTTTGTGAGCAAAAAGCTCAAAATTCTAGCTATAAAACATTTATATTTTCAACTAAAAATGGTCATGCCTATAATTGTTGTTTTGGTTCAGAAGAATATCCTGGAGACATTTAAGGGGAGACGCGGGTCGAAAAGTCGCGGTTTTCCGGAAAATTTTCGCTTTTTTTTTTCCGGCTGTATTGGCATCCTTGGACTATAATCTATTACTTCTGAAAATATCAAGCTGAAATTCGCACGAGAAATTATCAAAAAATGCTTCCAAGTGGGCAGCGGTGACGCGAGAAATGCGCGAAAGTCGCGAAAAACGGCGAAGTTCGCGTCGTCCTGTCGCGAAAACGACGCGTTGGCCGCCATTTGCAATCGTGCACGCATGCTGCGAAGGCCGTATCCTTCATAATCCACTAGTAGCCAGTCTTGTGCCTTCCCGCAGAACAAACAAAAAACGAGAAAAACAACGCGTACGTCACGCGTTTTGAATATCGCGGCACACAGCGCGAGGCCGCCATTGGACGGCGGTGCGCTCCACGCTTCTCCCCCTCCTATCTCTCCGGCAAAAGAGCGAAGCCTCGGACGTCGCGATCGAGTTTTTCTGCGTTTCTCTGCATTTTTGCATCATGGCAAGCCCGAAGAAGTGCAGTTCAGATAATCGAAAGTTCAGAACTCGCCACAAGAATCGAGGGAAATGGCGTCGGACGCTTCGCAAAGCGACAGCGAACGACGATGTCGCCCCCGACCAACGCCCCGACGCTCCGACTTCGGATAGGCCTAACACCGTCACCGAACCCTGCGACAGTGGTTGTGAAATAGCCGCTGCCGTGGAATTCGTCAGTGCATCCCAAAGGAAGATTGGATTCTTCGAGAGTGAACGTAGACCGGTAGATGCTGCTACTGCGAACATGCTGCTTTGCGAAATCGATGCGCTGACGGCACTTGTGGCGGGTGCGCAATGCCCAACCTGCCGCGAACGGAAGCTCGGCGTGCGAGAGGGAGCTGGAAAGCGCAAAGGACTTTCGGCATTCCTCGAACTGTGCTGTCAAAATTCTGATTGCCCTGAATCTGCACTTTCATTCACGCACACGTCGAGACGTACTGCTTCGGCCGGGGACCAAGGAACGAGCGCTCGTTTTGACAGTGGCAGCTCGCGTGACAGCTTTGCTGTAAACGTGAGGGCAGTTCTGGCAGCACGTGCTATAGGCGCAGGCCACGACCAACTTTCACGATTTTGTGCGATTCTCGGTCTTCCGAGCCCGACGCATCACAAGACATTCAACGGCATTTGCAAGAAGCTCCATGGTGCGGCGATGACGGCAGTGAGCAAAAACTTGCACCAGGCACGAAACATCACGAAGGACGCAGTCGGCGGCAGAGATGTGCCAGTCATGTTTGATGGCACCTGGCAGAAAAGAGGTCATAAAAGCCACAATGGAGTGGGCACAGTCGTGTCCCTGGACACGGGGCTCTGCCTCGATATTGAAGTTCTTTCGAACTACTGCCATGCTTGCAGTATACACAGGGACCTTGGGGAGGATGAAGAGAGATGGCGAGCTTTTCATCTTCCAGTTTGCCAAAAAAACACTGACTGCTCATCCCATGCAATGGAACCTGCGGCAGCTGTCAATATATGACAGAGGAACTTGTCTTATGAAACTCCACTGCGATTCACCAGCTTCCTAAGTGATGGTGACAGCAAGGCCTACACTGCAGTCTGCGAGGCAAATGTATACTGTGACACCCCCATTGACAAAGAAGAGTGCATGAACCACGTTGCAAAGCGCTTGGGAACTGCCCTACGGAAATTGGCAACGCCACTGCCACGAGGCGAAAAACTGAAAGATGCGACAATAATAAAACTACTAACATAATACAAGATCGCCATCACGAGCAACAAGGACAGTGTCCGAAATATGTACACTGCCATATGGGCATCGTATTTTCACTGCTGCTCCAGTGATGGTGCCAGTAGCCACAACTTTTGCCCCGTGGGACCAAATTCGTGGTGCAAGCACAAGCGTGCGGAAGCACTGGGGGAGCCTGCACCACGCCACACCCCACTGTTGACGAAGGCTCAAGGATTGGCAATTATGCCTATCTACAAGCGCCTTACAGAGGAGAAACTCCTTATTCGGTGCCTTCATGGCAAGACGCAGAATGCAGCCGAATCGCTGAACAGCAAGATATGGCTGCTATGTCCAAAAACAAAGTTCGCCTCCAGAACAACTGTGGAGACAGCCACCGCTCTTGCTGTACTCTGGTACAACAAAGGCCACAGGGGCTTTGAAGAAGTGCTCGAAGGCATTGGAATTCTCCCCTCACAAGATCTGGCCACACATGGTGACCACTGTGACGTCATGCGCATCAGGAAGATGAACCTGAAGCAAACTGCAGAAGCGAGGGCACACCGTCGCAACACAGCGAAGAGAGCTCGTGTTGAGGACACTGACCGCAAGAGCCGTGAAGGACCAAGCTATGGTGCAGGGGACTTCTAGACACTTGCACTGCATTCAAGGCAAGGTACTTTTCATTGTGCCCCAATTTGATGCAAAAAGAATGATTTCCTAATAAATGCCAACTTTGCGAACTTTCAAACTTGTTTTTCTCATTTTCATTTTTTCTGACAGTTTCACGTTTTCCGGGCAGCCTTTTAGAAACTTATATTCATTGTATAGTAACGAAACTTGGCACACATATTCTTCAACACATGCAGAATGAAAATGTCTACTCTAAATTGCAATGCCTACCAGCATTAGTTGTGAAAATATTAGCTTATTGTTTCAAAGGAGATTGAAAATAATAAGTCATTCAATACAATTTTTTTTTCTTGGTTCCAATATTTCTGTGACATATCTATATAGATATTTGCACTTTTCAATCTACCAAGAGTCAAATAAGATCAGACACAGTGCTTTTACTGAAAGTTTAGTACATAAAAGAGTGCCCGCAAAAAAATGTAACTTTCTTGCTATTGTTTATGGCATAACTCAATAATTATAGCAGCTACACAAAAAATGATTGCATATTTGAAATCTGCATGAAAAACTATACTAATAACAAACTTTTCAAGTCTCTATTACTAGAAATAAAAAAAAAACTTTTTCGAGGAGCGTCTCCCCTTAACTTACTTTTAGTGCACACTGACACACGGAAGCACTGGTGTTGTGCCCTCTCTTTTTCCATGCATCAGTGTGTGCTAAAAATAAATTACAATGTGAGAGAGCTTAGGTCCTTCGGGATAGCCATGTCGTGCGAGATGCTGCAGTTTGAAGGAAGGAAGACAACACAGGAGACAGGCATCCCTGCTGCGACTTTCAAGGCAAGCAGAGGGTGAGTGACGCGCTTCATGAGACGCTATCAACCGTGTATCAGACAGAGAGCTACCCTCTACCAGTGTCTGTCGCAGGATTACAAGGAGAAGGTTGTTCAGTTTCACCATTTCATGACTGGGCTATGAAGAACTGGAAACTTCATTCTGTCCCAAGTTGGGAAAGCGGACAAAACTTCGTTAGCTCTTGATATGCCACAGAACATAACAGTAAGCGAGAAAAAAAGTCTCAACTGTTCCGATCAAAACAACCGGCTGTGAAAAGCAACGCTGCACAGTTACGCTTGCAGTGACGGCTAATGGTCGTAAACTACTGGGGTTCGTGATTTTCAAGCAAAAAACATTGCCCAAAATCAAGGTACAAGGTCATATTCACATTCTCGCACAAGAGAAAGGTTAGATGAATGAGGAACTGATAAACAACTGGCTCAACGTTGGGGTACACGACCAGGGACATTGCTGCGACTGGCATCGCTGTTAGTTCTCGACAGTTTCAAAGGCCATCTTGTCGACAGCGTAAAGGAGAAGCTGCGGGACATGAGGACTAACCTGGCTTTTATCCCGGGCAGACTAACATCTGTTTGCAGCTCTTGGATGTATCCATAAATAAATATTTCAACAACTACGTGTGCAAGATGTCGGTGGAAGGGATGGTCAGTGGAGAGCATGAACTTACTCCCACTGGCTTGTCATTAAAATTAGTCCTGCCCATGCCCTATTCCTTCTTGATTTTAAAAAAGATGTTCTTAATTCCCACTTGTTCCCAGACTCACTCTACTCTTTTCTCGTCCTTCACCATGGCTATGTTGCAGTGGCTTGGGTTGTACCAGTCATTTAAGAACTCACCATTGCAAATGAGAACTTGGTCCTCCGCCACCATGAGACGCTGCGCTGAGCGGCGCTGGCGTGGTCGGCCCTCGACGACGTCAGGCGGCGCTTGACTGAGCGCTTCAGTGTCAGGCTCTGTTTAGAATTGCGTAGCGTAGCCAGTGCAACGGCCTCCGAGAAGTTGCTGTCGGCTCGCAGAATCTGTGTCAAACATGACAATTTCATTTTCACCAATAATTCACAAAAGTCGTCAATATCAAGTGGATTATGCATAGTCAGACTAGCCCCTCATAGGGCATCGAACTCCTTGCATGAGGACAAGAGAAAATAAACATCTTTATTACCCGGAGGAAAAGCCCATTCAGCAAGAAAAACCTTTTGAACCCTATCACTACCATAAAAGAAAAAAACTTTTTTTTGGCGCTCAATTCGCAGAGCTTTTTCTTTTCTAAATAAACTGGTATCATTCTTTCAATGCAACAATGTTCCTTCACATTACTAGATTAATTTTAAAAAAAAGTAAATTTAGGGTGGCTTTGCTGCATAGCAATACAACGAAGAATAGAAAAAAAAAAGTCTATTTACACACAAATGGCCCAAAATGAACCACCATGGTGCTCTAATGACAAGAAACACAAGTATCACAAGCATAGCTTTCATTGGTATTGTGTAGCACCAATTTTTGCTGAGAACAAGTAGAGTAGTCATCGGTCACTTTGTTACTAAAGTTCATGACGACTACAGTCGAGCCCGACTATATCGAACCCGTTTATAATTATCCCGTATATCGAACAATTCCTAAACACGGTAAGTTTACATTGAGAATATATAGCAAAAGTTACTGTTTTGTCGAACGAAAATAGCAACGACAACTGATATATCAAACTCCACGTGCTTCAAAAGTGCCCCAGCAAGTTGGCTTTCCCTCGCGGTGGCGGGGAAAACTGCCGGCGCCACCCTAGAAAAAGTTGCTTAGACCCGGTTGTGCGCGAGCGAACACCCCCCTCCAAGAAATGATCCTAGCCCGCTCGCAGTGCTTACAGCCAATCAGAGGCCGTCGTGCTTTCTCCAAGGCGCGGAGGCGGTAGAAGTGAGCGCTATTTTTTCTTTCTTTATGCTTGTGTGCCTGCTGCTGCCAATTCAGCGTGGTCTGTGGTGTTGCCTGTTGGTGCTCTGTGAACTGTATTGGCGTGCTGTCATCATGGCTAGCGCAAAGAGGCAAAATTTGGCGTTCGAGCGAAACTCGAAATCATCATTCGGGTTGAGCGTGGTGAAAAGAAGTCCGACGTCGCCGCCGCGTACAAAATTTCAAGGAGCACCTTGTGTACTATACTGAAGAACAAGGCAGACATCAGGGCCAAATTGGACAAAAAGCCAGGTGCCCGTGGCCCTGACGTGTGCGCGCTGCTGTGTACGAAGATGTTGAAGTGGCCGTTTACAAGTGGTTTGTGGACGTTCGGTCGCAAAACATCTCGGTGTTCAGCCCTATGATCGAGCAGAAAGCCAAGGACCTTGCTTTTCTGCTTGGAAGGAATCATTTCCAAGGCGGTTCAAGCTGGCTTCAGCGGTTCAAATAATGGCACGACATCGTTGGCAAAGCTGTTACAGGTGAAAGCAGAGCGGCGGACCTAGACAGCGTAGAAAAATGGCTCGAGGAAAACTGGCGAGATATCGCAGCAAGACATAGAGCCCAAGATATCTTCAATGCAGATGAAACCGCTCTATTTTGGAAAATGTTAAACAAGACACTTGCGTGTCGTGGCGACAAGACAAGCGGCGGCAAGGCAAACAAAGCTCGTGTGTCCGTGCTGTTGGCAGCTAATTTAGACGGATCAAAAAAGCTTCGACCTCTGGTTATCAGCAAAAGCACGGCACCGCGGTGTTTTCTAAATGCGCTGTCGCTTCCAGTTACCCACCGAGCAAACTCAAAAGCGTGGATGACCGGGGAGCTTTTCAGCAGATGGCTATCGTCGTGGAATGATGATTTGGTAGGCGAAAATCGCAAGGTGTGCCTGCTCGTGGACAATTGTTCATCACACCACTGCAGTACGACCTTCAGCAACATCGAGCTGCGTTTTTTGCCCCCGAACATTACGTCTGTACTGCAACCACTGGATCAAGGTGTTATACGCGCAATGAAAGCCCGCTATCGGAAGCGCCTGGTGGAGAGGCTGCTGCAGAACCTTCGCGTCGGCAGGGAGCTTAAGATCGACTAGCTCAGAGCTATTTCTATGTTGAGTAGATCGTGGGCAGATGTCAAGAAGGAGACGATCCAGAACTGCTTTAGGCATGCTGGATTCCGCATGCCTGGTGATAACACCCTAAATTCTGACAGCACTGAAGACACCACAGCTGTTTCTGCCGAAGTTTGGAACGAGCTGGCAGAGTTCCCAGGTGCTATCGACGGATCGACATTCGACGAATTCGTCAGTGCGGACGATGATGTCCCCATCATGGGCCAATTACAGGATGAGGATTACATTGCAGACGTCGTGCCGACCACGAGCCAAAGCGACGATATGAAAATCGACGACGGCCCATTGCCTACATCCTCCAAAGTGAGTAGTGCACTTGCGTTGGTCTGGCCCTATTGCTTGAATGTGGAAGGTTGCGGCCTCAGCTGCTCCAACTCGTTGGACAACGTGGAGGCGCGCGTGCTGTCGTAGGCAGCAAAGTCGTTGACCCAGAAAAAAATCCGGGACTATTTTGTTCCACAGTAGGGCACGCAAGTAAGCCACCATATAAATAAAGCACTTTTCTTCTAGTTTGTTATGTGCCTTTGCGTCAAAACTTATACTGGGACTATATCGAATTATGCCATATACCAAACTAATAAACGTTTTTTGGCGAGTTCGATATACCCGGGTTCGACTGTATACTTGCCAATGGGAGGAAAAAGGTCAATGTTGCAATGAGTTAAAAGAACAATGAAGGCATAAGGACAGAGTGTGCCCAGTCATAGCACCTATCCAATTAGTTCAAGCAGTAAGAGAGAGAACCGTAATACACAGCTTCAGAGCAGTGAACATCTCCCAAGATAGGTGACTTCACAATAGGGTGGCACTACACTGCAGTGAAACCACCTTTTCGGTTGGGTGGATTTCATGTGCTTTATTGCACGAATTTGTTTCAAATGCTCTTATTAAACGGAACATGAAGGGACTGGAAAAATATGTTCCTTCAACAGGCATTCTAGTTTCCGAGAGGTGAGAAGGGGTGCAGAATACAAGCACCAAGCCATTCATATCAGAGGTGCTTGTTCCATTTATGCAGCTGTTCTGTTTAACAGACTCCCGTTTACTAGGAGTCTACAGCACTTTGGAATTTCGAACATATTAAACTAGCATCAAAAAATAATTCAAACTCTGCAACATTCCTTTGAATGTCCGAAGCGCTCGAACATTCTCATAGACCTACAATCCACTTTCACTGAAATGCTGCTGCCATGGAAGGAAATCAAGTCCAGGCCTTCAAGCTCTTTAGCGAGGCATTCTGATCACTAAACTACCACAATAACCACGCATGGCCCTGGCCACTTACGTTGAACAGGTCATCAGCATTCATGTCATTGGCATTGTTTGCTGTGGCTGCACGCACGCGGAGTGTCAGGTAGCGCCAGTTATCACGCTGCCTGCTGCTCCCGACGTCAGAGGGTGCAGTCGTCGGTGGCACCTTGTCGCCTTGAGGTTTCTCGGAGACTACGGCATCGGGCTCTACAGGGCTCAGGTCATCTGCATGATAAGCACCAGCACACACCTCTTTTAATGAAAAATCAAATCAATCACACACACACACACATACAATTAAACCTGCTTGTAATTAATTCCTCAATATAACGAAGTTTTCTATTCCCCGCCATCCTTGCTCCATAGAACATGTATATGCGACCTCTATATAACCAAGTAACTGTGGGAAACAACCTTGATATAACGAATTTCCCCCACGGACAATCTAGGAATTTTGTGCTCCGCATTTTGTATTTTGCTACGAGCATGCATTTTCCGCAGCTGCCAGGCTTAGGCGGCGGCAGGCACGTGGCCCGCATTCCTGTGAGGCGGGTCTGCACCCCACAAGCAGGCGCTATTGGCCGCCACGGTCGCATGCACAGGTGAAACCTCCCCCCCCCCCCCCCCGTACTCAAAAATGAAAAAGGAAAAACTACTTTTGCGCGCTGGCAGTGCGACACTTTTATTTAGCGTCACATATGTGGGGCCACGCTGCATATGGAGGGCGCTTTACCTAATAGTTTTCCGCAATGTCCGTGTCTGTTTGTGTGTCGTTCACATTTCGTTTTCGATGCCATGCGCGCGTGCATGGTGGGTCCTCCGACGATGTTTAGCTTTGATTTTCTTTATTGCGATAGCAATTATGTATATTTTTTTTGCTGCCGCCACCGCCATATATATATATATATATATATATATTATATATATATATATATATATATATATATATATATATATATATATATATATATATATATATATATATATATAAGAAAACTATAAAATGCGCCAGCGCGGGCCTCTCTCTCCCACGTGTACTTTGCACCGTAAATGCGGGGGAAGGGAGAAGGGGGTGTAGGTGCTTGTGCACACGCGCTTACCCTTTGCCTTCGGTGGGGAGAACCAGCGCCTTAGACTTTGACCAGAGCGATTGTGTTTGCCGGGCGCAAAGGGATCACTTCACTCTTTTCACACAGTCCCTTCGCGTTGAAACCACACTGATACTCGCTGAGATAGCAAGCGCACCAGCGATCGCGACAGCCCTTAAAATCAAAGTTCATTATTGCTACTCGAGCGATCCACCCCCCACGCGTTTTGATGCTTGTTTAAGACAGGTGGCTTACTTTCCGTTTGAGCATTCGACGGCAGTTCCAGCACACGGGATATGTCATGCACTTTCCAGTTGATAGGGACAGGCCGACTCATTTTATCTCTGCTTCAGCAGTGCTCGAGCGCTTTTACCTGCTCGTGAAATTTACAGTGCGCGGGGCGTGTTATCAATCTGGACTTGTTACGGAACATAGCGGCGAAGGCGAAAACCCACCGAGGGTGTTCATATAATTGCTATCGCAATAATAACGCAGTTTTTTACTGTAAAATAAACGTTTTAAGCTAGCTCTGCCCTCAGTTCCCTGTTTGTTTAATTCACTCGTTTATTTTCTGAATTTTCGTACTGAACCTGCATAGAACAAAATCCTCTTTATAATAAATTTACCGGGAATTTGTCAAGTTCGTTATATATTTTTTTTAACAAATCAACATGTCTTTCTTGCAGTGCGTACTGTATTTCTTACTTTATGAAGGTCAATGAACCAGCTGAGGATATGCCATTCATATTTTTATCTGATTATTAAGGAACAGACACAGACATATCAAATCTAAGGCCCGCATTCGCAAACCAACCCTAACTTTATCGCTCGCTTTACTTATCATGTATGGTTCTTTCATGGGCTTTTTAAACCAACATGAAGGCAACGTTCACAAATCAACTTTTGTTATTTTTTGTCCTGTTCACTGCTTTCAGTCATTTGATGCGCATTAAGGGCACAAAAATGATATGCAAAACCAGACTTAAGGTTAAGGTTGGTTTGTCAATACAAGCCTAAAAAAGCTAGTGACCAGCCACACACACTTGGAATTAACCTATTCAGGGTCTATGATCAACACATACATCGCACGCCAACAGCCCCAATACCATTGCCATATACCATATATACCATTGCCAGTATGTTTAAAATGTGCACCTTTCTCAACCGTTTCTCATGCTTGTCACGGACTGCCACATCGCAGGAATATGTGCAATTTTTGCCTAGCACTGATGTCTCTCTGTTTTTTTTTTGTTTTTTTACAGTGGTGTACCAACTAGTTTCAGCTTTGTCCTTTAGCCTGCTCCCGCTTATTGCACCTGCATAATTGGTGGCTTTCCAGTTTAGAATTTTAAGATGATCAATATTTTACCATCTCATTTATTGCTCCCCAGTATGAAATTATGCCATTACCCTAGCAGGTGCTAACTGACACAAACAATGTCGCTGTGGTTATGTTTCCTGTTTTGTAGACTTACGAAAACTGTTTCTGTTATGGTGACCAGACGAATGGTTATTACAGGTTTTGGACTTGTTCTTGCTTTCCGGGTGTACTTGCAACTACACAATTTCCTTCAGTGCTCTCACCCGTGCAGTTTGTTCTTACTATGAAAGTGAACGCCGATTTTTCTACCGCAAGTGAGTCTAGCGGCAATTCCTCTCACCCATGCAGTTTGTTCTTACTATGGAAATGAACGCCGATTTTTCTACCGCAAGTGAGTCTAGACTTACGAAAACTGTTTCTGTTATGGTGACCAGACGAATGGTTATTACAGGTATTGGACTTGTTCTTGCTTTCCGGGTGTACTTGCAACTACACAATTTCCTTCAGTGCTCTCGCCCGTGCAGTTTGTTCTTACTATGGAAATGAACGCCGATTTTCTACCGCAAGTGAGTCTAGCGGCAATTCATCTGAATCTCCTCTCAACTGCTAAATCAGAATGTGATTCTGTAAATGTCAGCCCATCATTCGAGGAGTACTTAAGAGTCAACACTAAGATGTTGACGAGTGAGTGACACCTCAAAAGCGTTTGCAGCGAGACGCTGCTTACTAGATCACAAGTGGCTTTTCTCCCTCCGTGTTTTTCACTTAATGCCACTTTGTGTACTGCTTTTTGTACATCTGTAAACTAAACAGACACTTATTTGAACGCATAATTCTTAACATTTTTTTAAAAATTTATCTTGCTATTACTAAAATAAACCATGTATATTTAACAACACGAGTGACATTCTTGTTACTTTACGGTCACTCTGAAAAATTTTAGACAATGTGTTTTTTCAAATAGATCTGTTTGAAGATTCTAACTCAGCAATAAAAAAATGAGAATTTCAAGGACACATTTCACGAAAAAAAAATCATCCCTCAAAGGGTTAAAGCAGTAAGTGACCAACCATAGTATTCTTCCAGTGGTATGATGTGGCACAGAGGCATGGGGAATAACAAAGGAACTTCAGGGGAAGCTAACAACTACAGTGCACTGTGAGAGAGGAATGATAGGCATAACATTGTGACAGGAAGATAGCCAAACGGATCGAGGAACAAAACAGAGACAGCTAATATCTTAATTGACATTGAGAGAAAAAAACTGGCCTGTGCCGGTCGATTCATAAGAAGTCTTCATAGCTGATAGTCACTTGTCACTGGAATAGATACCAAGAAATGGAAAGTGCAAGTCATGGACAGCAGGGCTAAGTGAGGAGATGAAATCAAAAAGAAGTTTGAAGGCGTAACATGGATTCGGCTTGTGCAGGAGATCATCAGGTGAGGCGTTTATCCAGCAGTGGGCATACTATTTGTCCTGAGTACAATGACTAAGACGATTGACACAATACTTAAATTGGAGATTGCATCAATGTTTCCAAAAAGCTTAGTTTCAAAGGGTCAGTCATTGTATCAGAGGCTGCCTGCTGTTCACACTCATGTGCATTGGAAAATGCAGTGCACCAACATTTTCTTGTTTCTTGGTCAGCGACAGCAAATTTGAAAGTGCAGAATCAAAGAACTGCTGAACTGAACCATGAGAGTGAATTACGTAGAAGAATGGGGATGGGGTAAGTAAAACTTGGCAAGCATTCTCAAATCATGAACGGTAGTCTACTACTACCCTTAAAGAAGAAGAAGTTGTATAACAGCTGCATCTTACCAGCATAGAGTTTCCTAAAATTAACTGGAGGGGAATCAGGTGCTGCGATCATTCAGCGACCATGCGAATGATGGGTTGTATACGAATTCGCCTAGTCTTTGTACTTGCGGGCAGCGAATCGCACTTGTGGCTCGATTTATTTTTGTGTTTAAATTTTGTTTCGTAGGAAAGAACGAACCCTTTCGAACTTCGTGACCCAATTTGAATTGGTAAGCCTAAAAGAATGAGGCAATGAAGCACAAGCAGCTGAACATTTGCCGATTTTCATTTCATGAAAACACAGCTATGAGCCAAACGAACACACATTGAGCCAGAAGTACGAAGATTAGACAAATTCGTAAACTACCCATCATTCCCACGTTCGCTGAAGCACCGTGCGTTGCAGCTCCAGTAGACACTAGTGCTAGAGTTCCCTCATGTGAATATTTAGGAAACTCTATGCTTACTGGTACTTACCTACGAATCAGAAACCTGGAGAAACCTGGAGGATTACAAAGAGGGTTAACTTAAATTGAGGCCATTGCAGTGAGCGATGAAAAGGAAAATGACAGGTGTAACCTTAAAATGCAGAGAGAGAGAAAAGTGGGTCAGGGAACAAACCGGGGTTAGGGATACGATAGGTGAAATCAAGACGAAGAAATGGACATCCACAGGCCAGTCATGCAGAGTGTAGGCAGGATAATCGCTGGCCATCAAGGGTAACCGATTCCAAGACAGCGCTCTTGGAACCTCTCCTCAAGAGAGGGCAAATTTGCGAGTGGAAGACATAAAGTTAGGTGGGCAGATCAGATTAACAGGTTTGCAGGTATAGGGTGGCCGCAGAAAGAAAAGGACCGGATTTATTCACAAAGCATGGGACAGTGTCTTTGCCCTGCAGTGGGCATTGTCAGGCTGCTGATAATAATAATGAAACAAAGAGCCTTGCATATGCCATCCATCTCTGATTGTGCTTTTGAAAGAAAGTAGGTTGACCATTAAGCTTTTCCTTCGTTGC